GGCGGTGTTGCCAGCGTGATGCGACTCGTATGGTATGGTGAGGACAAAGTGATTGCCAGTCGGTATGTTTGGGGCGTACTGTAGGGTGCCGCCCAGGAGCACCGAGAGTTGGTAGCAGATGGGCATGTCCAGGCCAATGCCAAACTCATTCTCAAAGCCATAGACCATCGCCAAAACGTAGGGCTCAAACATGGCCGGCATCACATCCTCTTCGACACCACAACCAGTGTCGGTCACGGAGAATGACAGCAACTCGGTGCCCGGTCTGTTCGGATCGGGCTGTGTTGTGACCTTCACAACGATCTCTCCTTGATACGTTGTCTTGAGTCCAGTGTTGACGAGTCGATGCAGTATATGCTTGAGTTTGGTTGGGTCGCCAGTGATTGTCGCCGGTACATTTGGTGCGATCAAGTAGCAGAGGTCGACCTCACGCTCCTCAAAGTAGCTCCTTGTTGTAGGATTGGCAATTATCTCTTCCATCAATGCCTCCACGCCAAACAATGTTCCTGATTGATTGATGTTAGTAATGCACTCTGTGGACGACGCATGGCCCGCGCGACAGCTTTAAACTTACTCTCACAGTCCGAACTCTTGAGTGCCTTGATCTCGGAGAAGTAGAGAACCTCTTTAGACATTTGATTGAGTTGATCAAAGGCTTTGGATATCTTTTGGAGGTAGGGCGCTTGATGAGGCTGCACATCAGAGTCCATCAGGAAGCCAATCATTGGACTTGCCGAGTTGATTGTCTTCTTGAACTGACTGAGTGTGCTGGTGAGGAACTGATTGTTGATCTCGACCTTCCTCTTCTGATTGCCTATGCGCTCCTGGAAGTGGAGGTTCTCCTGTAGCACGCCATCCATCTGATGCAGCACGTCATTGTAACGATTGTTGACTATCTTCCAGTCGACGATGTAGTCCAGCGAGGTGCCGATGCACGGGAATGCCACGACGAAGCAGCGGATCCACCGACGCATCACCAGGCGCTCCATCGGGAAGGACTCGAACGACCTGAATGAGAATTGGGTGGCGTCAAACGCGATGAGCCACACGAACAGTGTCGAGATGATCATTGACGCCAGTCGATATGAGTTGTTCTGGCTGTACTCAAAGAAGAGAAGGACAATCTGCAGGAAGTAGATGATGAGCAAAAGGGGCAACTGGAAATGATTGAGTGTGATGTCATCGCTGTGATCAATCGCTGTGATCAGGCGGCCCAGTGGCTCGTAGTTGACGCGTGCAACAAGCAAGATGTAGAGGACTGCCAGTGAGAGATAGACTCGTGCCAGAAACTTCTTGATGAATCGCAGGGCTACTGTGCCGCCCTTGGGAGGCTGCTCCTCTTCCTGTTGCTGTTGCTGCGCATGATGTGATGTTGTTGAGCCACCTCTATGATGAGTATGTTGTCTATGCTGCTTCGTCGATCGCACGCTAAAGCTTGCAAAGTTCAATGTTATTCCAACAAATATGAACTCAACCGCTGAGCAAATCTAGATGTTGGCGTGATCATGGTTAGGATCAAGAAGTGATGAGTGATCGATTGATTGATTGTTCGGTGACTTACATTGAATATTGTATCGTGGTCAAAGGAATCATCCTTTGGGTTGAAGTATGATTGAATAAAGATGGTGTTAACAAAGCCTGAGAGTGCCAGGCCAAGGAACATGTAGTCCAAGGAGCGTGCAATGAACATTGGCTTGTACTGTGATGATGATGATGATGAGGATGGGTCGCTGGCAGCTTGCTGATTGACTATGATAGGGGGCTGGTCCTGATCGCTGAGCTCACTCGAGTTCCTCGCCTGACGCTGTTCCTTCTTGGTGATCTGATGATGCAAATGCGAGCGCGTGTGGATATTGTGCTCAAACAGTATGCGTACCTTCAGCTGCAGGAACAGAAACAGGAGCACCACCAAAGAGAAGACGACGTGGAACGGATTGATGAACAGCAGGAGACTCTTGACGCTGTCGCGCTCGCCACTCCACGTCTGCAGCTTGTAAAAGAAGTGCTTGGAGACCAGCAGCACGACATTGAACAGCAGCACCACTGACAGGATGAAGTGGACAAAGTACATGGTCTTTTCATACACTGGATGTTTGATCTCGAGCGTTCGGTGGTGATGTTGCTGTTGCTGTTGCTGCCCCGATGGCGTGACGGTCGCGGATTGGGTTGGGTTTGGCGTGGAAGGGGAATGATGTGATTGATGTGATTTGTGATGAGACGCTACGCTGGTGCCGCCAAAGCTCGGAAGTGTCATTGGAGGCGTTGGTTGGTGTGATGTAGATAAGGGTGGCGGGTACAGCGAGTCGGACTGCACGGGCAGGGGCGAGGGCAGAGACGCCGAGTTTGAGTGAAGAAAGTTGTCCATCGATGGCACCTTGAGGTACTTGCTGCCGCCCACCGAATTGAGTGGCGGTGATCCTTCGGTGGAACTCGAGCTGATTGAGGGCATTGACGCGCCTGGCAGTGACTGTCCATTATTATTATTATTATTATTGTTGTCGCCCAGTATTGTAAAGAGATGAGGTGATGGCGAGCGAGACGAAGAAGAAGATGAAGATGATGACAGGCCGGCATTCCATGAGAACATCGGGATCATGGGTCGTCGCGAGTTGCTCGAGCCCTTCTCATAGCTGTGTCTTCGTCGCGCCCCTGGTCCATTGCCATAGAATCCTCCATAATATCCATAATGATGTGGTATGCTGTACATTGTATTCAAATCAAATGCATCATCCTCTTCAATCTGTTGTTGTTGTTGTTGAGTTGGATGTTGGCTATGATGTTGATGATGTTGCTGTTGTTGTTGACTTTGTTGTTGTTGTTGTTGTTGTTGATTCTGTTGTTGTTCTTGATTGCTCAACAATCTGTGGTAGCTTGATCCTTCGTTTCCACTGCTTCCACTGGTGTCTGATACACTACTATTGCTGTTACCTCCATTGCCATTGCCACCACCACTGCCAGTGCCATTAGTTATCGTGCCACTGCTGCTACTGGCCGCACCATTGTCATCTGATAAAGTATCTGCCATTATTATTCTGTATATGTACTAACTACCTCGGGAAATTCAATCTCTTTGGCGTCCTTGTTGGGACACATACAAGTGATCGATCACTTGGTTGAGTTGAGATGTCTGTCTTGAGATATTTGGATCTCTATTCCTCTCTTCCTCTCTCTCTCTATATCTCTATCTCCAACTCTGTATCTATCTCTCTCTATCTCTTCGCAGAGTGAAGACGTAGTTGATGTTTATGTATGTTGTAGTGGATAGATGTATTGTGTGTGTATCACAGCGGGACATCCTCATCTCATTGTATAATGGATGAATGAATGAATTGAATGTATTGAATGAATGAAAGAGTGAAAGAGTGAATGAGTGAATAATGAGGGAAAAGTGTCAACAAGTGTCAACAAGTGTCAACAAGTGTCAATGAGTGTCAAAGGGTAGATGCGGAAGTGAGGTGTGTATGTGTTTGAATGTTTGGATGGATGGATGGATGAGTGTAAATGGATATACAAGTATAGTATGTGTGTGTATAAGTGTGTGTATGAGGTTTGAAGTAAATGCGGGACAACTTTCGCCGACCATGTCCTTGTTTGTTGTTGCTGTGGTTGTGGTGTGGGGTGTTAACCCCACCAACCCATTTTGGTTGAGCCTGGTTGTTCACTCTGTCTTTTGGTCTCTTTGAAGGTGAGTTCACCAAAAGGATCTAGGCTCTTATGAAGATACTACTTCTTTCCATTCATTCAATCAAAAATGATATTTTATGATTCCGGAATATAGTACTTACTACTCAATTAATTAATTGGAAGAAGAGGGGTCAGGGGTATGACCACTCCACTTGAATGGAGTGTGAGTATAATTGATGGACGATCATTCATATTACTTCTTCCAACAACTATAAAATTTTAATAATAAATATAAATATAAAAATAGTTTATATATATTCAAACTCATTGGAATTGTTCGTTTAACAATAGTAAACAGTTGAGACCCATGATGAGCCTGGTCCAATGTTCATCGATTGGATGGGGGGATGGGGTGGAACTGTGATTGAGCTCCGCGGATGAATGAATGTTTGTTTGTGTGTGTTTAGTGAATGAGAGTGTGTGTGAATGTACCCCATCCGAACAACAACAAACAAACAATAATGTCTGTGTCACATCAATGGAGATAATGATGCGGCCTCAGCACCACGTGTGAATGAATCAGTCCGTCAGTTGGACCTTCTTCTTTGTTGGTTGTGTCTCTGTTCTCTCTGATATGTTCGTATGAACTGAGATGAATGACTGAATGACTCCTAAATGAATGATCAGTAACACCATCACTCACTTACTCAATCACTCATTCATTCATTCATTCAATCATTCTCAACTTATAACTACTACTACTACATCTATATTATCTACTTATAAATATATATATCTATATCAACGAGATCATTAACATTTAAACATTTTATAATTTTATATTTTCTTTTATCCCAACAGATCATAATATTATCAAATATCACATCAACAATAACTTTGGACATCGGGTTGTGTGTTGTTGTAGATTCTATTATTAGCAACATAATCAAAAAGGAGGACCATCCATCTATCTATCCCGTCATTCATTCACGCATCATTTCAATTCAAAGTAGAGCATACTCACCCAGTCATTTTCAAAATTCGAGAGAGGTCTGTTGTGTGGTGACCAACATCATCAATCTGTCACCTGACGCGTCTTTTCTCTCTCAATTGCCTGAAGTTGGGACCATCCGCTGCTCGTCCAAAGAGAGGGGTAAACACACACTCATAGGTGTCTACACCACATCTACTCCATTCCATTCCATCCATCCATCCATCAGTCAGGTTAGGGCCTCCATCCACATCCATCAGTCATTCAGTCATTCATTCATTGTGTCAGGTCCAGCCCCTCATTCATACGAACCATACTGACGTACAAAGGTCCCAACAACTGCAACATAAGCAATTACTCATCATCATCAACATCTTACATTCATACATATATTATTTACAATCATATAATATAATATATATTATAACAACAACAGGAATTATAACTTTTAACAACTTATAAACATAACAGCAAAAATGAACTTTGAGTTCTTGTTGAGAAATGGAGCTGCGGCTGGAACTGTTCCGCCACAGGTCATGTCGACACCACCACCCCCACACTTGTTGGCAACATCTTACCCAATCTCAAATCTGGTCAGGTCACCTTCATCCAGAGGTTCAGAAGACAATGGCAACGCAACAGACAATACACAGACACATAACAACAACAACAACAACAACAACAACAACAACAACAACATTAGTAGTAGCAATAGTAATAGAAGCAGCACCGATAATGACAACCACAGCCACAGCAACATCAACATAATGAACAACAACAACAATAATAACAACGGAAACAACTTTGAAATACAATGGACACAAAGACCAAGGAAGCCACTCCAGCCTAGCAACAATCAACATCAACATCAACAACTTCTTCATCCACACCAACATCAACAAGAGACTGATATAAAGCCATCATCAACTAGTACTACACTCACACCTACACTGCAATCACTGACCACATCGACGTTGGCCACACCAACATCACCAATCGTGATCGGATCATCATCAATGATAGACCCAACAAGGACACAATCACCAATGAGTCTGACGGGTGTGTCCGTCAAGGAGCAACACAATCACAATCCCCTGGGAGTGCTCCAATCACTTCAATCGACACCACCAATACCACCTCCAACACTCCATCAATCACCTGTACATACTTCAATCAACAGCAATAGCAACAGCAGTAGTAGCAGCAGCAAACAGAGCAGTAGCAGCAAGAGTAGCAAGTCAAGCAAGACATCTGGAAACAATGAGGACAAGGACAAGGACAAGGACAAAGACAAGGTCAAGGACAGGGATAAGGACAAGGAAAAGGACAAGCTTAAATCAACGCCAACATCATCGTCAAAGAAGAAGAAACAAAAGAAGACCTATATCCAACCTCCAAACTATTCAAAGTCCACTGGTCCAGTGATCGTCACGGCCACATCATCAACAGGAACACCCACTCCCCACGTGCAGTATCCTGACGCGGCCGCCAACGCCACCGCCATTGCCATTGCCACTGCCACTGCCTCCACTCCCCTGAAGGAGCTGACGCAAGAGGACACAGAATCATTTGTAAATATACTCTTGGGCCTGAAGGACATCCAGCAACAACAACATCAACAACGCCAACAACAGCTGGATCTGCATCAACAGCTCCAACTGCAGCAGATGCAGCAACAACAGATGCAACAGCAGCAGATCCAACTGCAACAACAGCAACAGTCGCTCAAGAAGCGCGCCGTATCTGATTCCATTCAAACAGTGGTCAACGCAACACATGGACACTACTCGCATCTACAATCATTGGACACCATGGCCACCAAGTATCATCATCACGCCTCCAAAAAGACCAAGACTCCATCCTCTGCCGCCGCCACCGCCATTACATCATCTCTAGTGGACAACTCTAGACCAGGCGAAAGGGCGCAACCCAACGTGCATCCAATACATTGATTATTATTGTGATCACATTAGTACTTCTTCTCCTCCTCTACTTCTTCGTCTGATGATTATTTGTGTAGTGTGTGCGGTGTGTTCCAATCGATCTCATGATCTTGAGTTGTAAGTTCGATCAAACAAAGTGATCGGGCTGGGCTGGCCAGCCGAATCAGCAATCAATCATCTGACTGACTGACGACATCAAGAGAGTGCCCCTTGATCTACAATCTCAGAGTAGAGCACAAGGGCAGTGCCCCTCAGTTCAAATACACTTGATCCGGTACGACCTACTTGAACTCAGGTCGCCAACGACCATCTAACAATCTTGAATATCTATCTAAACCTTGGTGAACAAATGACAATGCCCATGGGCATCATCCAACCAACAACCACATCACACCCACACATCAAAGCATCATCTTCGATGGCCTAGTTGGTCCTACCCATGATCGAAACCCACAAACAGCGTGGTGTTTTGTTTGATTGTTTTTTTGTGTATGAATGAGTGATGGGTGTTGAGTGCTTGAGCATGTTTACCAAAACGCTTTACAATAACAGATGCATTGGTTGGTGGTGGCACCCAAGGCAATGGGTCCGTGTGATAACAAAGTCGATCGTACTTTGGCTTCAATGAACTCATCTCACAAATGAGGTGAGGTTAATGGTGTGTGGGTCATTCACTCATGTGACTTGATCAGCAATGCCATGGAGTAGTGATGTGAATGAATGAGAATACACACTACTACTCACCTCATCAAACAATCAAACAATCAAACAATCATACATTATTTGAATTCATTCACTCGATCAGCACTCACCCCTTACACCTCTCTCTCACACACTCACACACACAACCAGAGAACCCAACAACAACAAACACAACCTTTATCAATAACGACTTCTGCTTATTCTTCTTCTGATCGTGCTGGCTAGTCCCCATCCATCCATCCTCAGAAAGAGAGCAAGCTGCTAACTTGATTGATTGAATGATTGATTGAGTAATTGTTTGATTGCAATCATTTTAATAACATTACTTTCAATTAATCATTTACACAACAACAACAATCAACAACAACTACCTACATACAATACATTACAATACAATACATATTCAATTCCGTACAATACCAACAACCAACCAACCAACCATCGAACCAGGCTGGACACACGGAATCCCTTCCCTTTGTATTGTTGGTCAAATATAATAATCAACCAGAACCACAAGTAGTAGCAATTGCAACCCTGTACAACAGCAACAACAAGTCAGACATTCATTCAATCAATCAATCCATACTCATTCAATTTAACATTCATTCAAATCAATCAATCAAACGAAACAACCAATCAACCAATCACCTCCCATTACTCTTAATCCAACAATCAAACAAACAACAACAGGTTGTTATATTATAACTCTCTCCTCCTTATTAATAATGCAATATTATCAGTTGTGTAAGTGTCGATACTTCAATCATACCCTCACAGACATACCCTCGCAGACACATGCCCTCGCAGACACCACATTACAATTCCACGCAACAACATTCACATTCACATTCCCATCCACACTCAACTCAATTCGAATCGAGAGATACCAACATAATATTATACTTGTTTAGACCAAGTATTCCGTGTTTGTTGTTGTTGTTGGTTACTTGAATGGATTCCAACAATATTACTTTATTTGACCCATTTGCAGATCACTCAACCAATCGTTTATCATATAGTATCGAGGATAGTTCCGTTGATTTCTGCAAACTCCTCATTTTCTTTTTTTAATCGTCTTGTTGTCTTTGAAACGAATGCCCAAAAAGGACATATTCGTCTAACCCAACCCCACACTCACCCCAACCTACACACACCAAAAAAACCAAAAAACCAAACTCGTAAACGTAAATCATGCCTTTATTATTACTACTTACTTTCTTTGCACGACTCACACACTCTCATACCCCCACATCTCCCACACTCACACACATATTCACAACCCCCGAATTGAAATTCAAATAACGGGTCATCTCAGATAACATTTGATATTATTTTGAATTTATTCCACCACACCCACAGCCACCCACTCACCTTAACTTTATGAGTTTGGTTGTGGTTCGCGAAACCTATCCTGGGCGACCTGATCCATTCTTGTTGGTCGTCTGGACTTTACTTGCTTGTTGACTCATACACATATACATTGTTGTTTGTTTGTTCTTTATTTGTTTCACTCACATTCCAAAGTACACACATTCATTTATAATAATATAAATACAAGTCTTGAGAATGCACAGTCACACTAATCCTAATTAATTCTTTATTCATCATTCAAACAAATGATATAATATATAATTATTTATTCATACATATAATATATATATCTTTATAGCAGCGGAAACAACAAGATCAATATAACTTAACTTAACTTATTTATATAATATATATAATATTTATTATTTATTCAATCAATCAATTAATCAATCAATCAATCAATCATTTAACAGAACTCAAAGATCAAGATAATATTAATGACCACAATAGATTCATCGTCGACATCATTATCAAATACATTGACATCAATACTATCAAGAGGTGAAGCTACACCTGATAAACATACTCAATCAACAACAACAACAACAGCAGCAGCAGCAACAGCAGCAACAGTAGTAGTAGCAGCAGCAGCAGCGTCTATAATGAACTCTTATCGCCACTCTACCAATAGCTTTTATGGGACGATGAACCCGCATATCAATATACCAATATCGTCATCGACGACGGTGCCAACGTCGGCCTGCCACTTCCAGAAGCCACCCTCGCCACTTAGACACAACACAACGGCATCAATGCTGATGGATCTCGACACACCAATGGAGAATGATGAGGCAGACGATGACGATGAGATTATCGTTGAAGATACATCATCATGTCAAAAGTTACCAAACAATCTAAAGTTCTCTCAGTCAATCCTTCCTCCTCCACCTGCAGGCGACAGCAACAATAACAACAATAACAAAGAATATAGCAGCAGCGACGTCGTCGAGACAAATGCAGGCAGCAACTCATCATCACCATCATCTTCATCATTATCAATGTCAAGTTTCAACGAAGCCATCATGTCATCGGCAGTGGCTACTCCAAATAGTAGCAGCGCAGGCGGATCGTTCAATAACGGTCTGCCCATATCGACGTCGCCCACATCATCGGGCACGGGCATCAACCCGCTCCTGAAGCTCACGGGCGTCCTGCCCGACGCGACCAGCCAACTGCTCAGCGCCAACAGTCCATTTTCACATAGCTCGTCCGCAGCCTTCACTCCCAGCAACTACAACAACAACAATAACAACAACAACACATCTCCCACCAACACATCTACCACGCCACCACCAACTACCAGCTTCCCAAGCATGCTGTTTGATGAGGATCGCGAGCGCATGCGCTTCGAGTTCGAGTCCATCAAGAAGCCCGAGTCACACTCGCGCAAGTCGCACAAGCACCACCAACGCCACTACTCGCACAACGACCTTGACAACCGCAAGCACGACGAGGAGAAGTTCTTCAGCTCACTGCAGCCAAACAACTACTCAAAGAACCGTTACCACGATGTGTTGCCAAACGAGTCGACACGTGTGCGTCTGACGCCACTCGAGTCTGGCGACGGTGACTACATCAACGCCAACTACATCAACGGAGAAGTGCCCAACTCCTATCGTTACTACATCGCCTGTCAAGCTCCATTGCCATCGACCATCAAGGACTTTTGGAGAATGGTCTGGGAAGGTATGTGAACCATCCTCAATCACTCGATCACTTGATCACTCGTCCACTCACTAATCATTCAATCAATCAATCACAAACAGAGAAATCAGCTGTAATTGTATGTTTAACAAGATTGGAGGAGGATGGAAAGAAGAAGGCCGACATTTATTGGCCAGAGAGCTCGAGCGAGCCAAAGAATTGTGGTCCTTTCTGGATTCACTTGTACAAGAAGGTGGTCTTCAAGGAGATTGCAGTCAGCTCCCTGCATCTGTATCGCAAGGGAGAGGAGTTCCCTCGCGAGGTTGTGTTGCTGCACTATACCCAGTGGCCCGACAGCGGCGCACCGGCACTGACCACGCACATCCGCACAATGTCTGTGCTGGTCAACACGTTCAAGCAGCGTGGCAACCTCAAGAACTCCAACGGCCCCGTGGTCGTGCATTGCTCCGCCGGCATTGGCCGCTCGGGCACATTCATTGCCATCAACATCAACATGGCCAAGATCGAGCGATCGGTCAACAACGAGCCACACTGCAACGTGTCGATCAAGGACACTGTGATGGAGCTGCGTCGCCAGCGCCGCGGCATGGTCCAGACGTTTGAGCAGTACTGCTTCATCTACAAGGTCATCAACGACGTGCTCAACGACATGGGCCGCTCGCTGGCTTCGCCCACCAAGCGTCGCTCATGTGAGATGGTGCGCACGATGCCCCGTCTGGACATCAACTCGAGCCACTCTGCCAACTTCACGCCCAAGGAGTTCCTCTCTACGATGACGTCGTCGGCTGAGACGGCCGCATCGCTCTCTATTATCACGCAGATGACCCAGACGCTCAAGTTCCCACAGTCGTCGCAGTTTGAGAGTGGCAACCCGTTCTCCAACTCCAAGATCAGAATCCCTTCACCGTTGAACGTATCATCGTCCAACATTTTGACCATCCCACCCTCCTCGGCAACGTCCACTCTCTCCTCTTCACAACAATTGCTCAATGACTCACTCAATTGCACGACGCCAACCGCTACGCCCACGTCCGAGCTCTTCTACCAGCCTCAGGCAATGTCACCTCACCACCAGCGCAGTAGTTCGGTGTCTAGTTTCAGCAGTGGATTCACAATGCCATCAGTGTCCAACAATGCCTTTTTCCAACAGTACCAACAACTCCAACAACAGCAACAACAACAGTCACAGTCACAGCCACAGTCCAAGTCTGGAAACACAAGTTTCCTGATATACAACAACAACAATAGCAACAACAACTGCAGCAATAGTGGAAGCAAGCTCCAGTTCAATTTTTCCAACAATGATGACCATGAAGGTGATGGCAACTTGCAATCATTCACTCAGCTCAGCAACAACAACAGTGGCAGCAGTGGCAACAACAACAACAACAGTAACATCAGTATCAACTCTTCAGATAGCAAAGATAATGGAGACAATAATACCAAAAGTAGTGGCAGCGAGAGTCAAGACAACTGTGGCAACAACAACGTCGTCAACAACAACAACACCAGCAACAATGGTGGTGATGGTGATGACAACGATGCCAACCAGTCAGACTCACCACGAAAGGTGTCCCCAATCAAATGCTTCTGAAGAGGTCTCTTTCCTCTTTCCTCCTCCCTCTTTCCTCTTTATCTGTACATAACATAATAATATATTTATAATAAATTATAACTTAACTTAACTTATCCTAACCAGTGACAACTCCTTTGGTGACCTGCTGATCGATGGTCAACCCATGTCCCCCAACATTGGGTCCTTGTCCCCCCATCCACGATTAACCATCACATCGTTTGAACCAAAAAGTGATCAGATAACACAATCATGCACCAAGGTTACGCCCATTCACAGGCCCCGTTCGTTCCAGACATACAATCTCCTGATCCTTGTGACGTAAAGTATGAAAAGGTGATTCAAGTGATGTCACGCCTTACCCATCATTGATCATTCACCAAACTTACAACAAGACAAGACTTATCAAGAGTGCTCCACTTCCACTTCCGCTTTTACTCCTTTCAAAAGATACAATGACAAAGAATATTTACAACTTCTACTTCTTATTATTGATGATGTTGTTGGCGGTGATGGCCGTGAGTGTTCATTGCCAGTCTGGTGATGGCGGTGCCGCAGTTACATCTGGTGATGGTGGTATAGTAACTGCCATAACATCTGGTGATGGTGGAATTGTACACGGTACCAGCACATCTACTGCCCCGTCAAGTATCATAACTACCATAACATCTGGTGATGGTGGACTAGTCCATGGTACCAGTACAACCACTCCGACAACAATATCATCAACATCATCAACATCTACGAGTACATCACCATCTGATACCACTACCTCCACCTCTACATCTACCAGTACATCACCAACTACTACATCCACATCACTTAACTCAACATCAACATCTACGACGTCCAACTCAACTACTTCCTCGACCTCCTCGACCTCCACTGGAAACTCCACATCCAGTACATCTTCGACCTCTGCTGGATCCTCCACATCTTCTACTTCGTCCACCTCTTCAACTACCACTTCGACATCTTCGACGTCTTCGACATCCTCGACAACATCGACCACGGCCACACCCTCGACGTCCACATCTACTACCTCCACAACTTCATCCAGTACTTCAAGCAACTCCCCAAGTGTCACCAGTACAACTACAACAACAACGAGTAGCACTCACTCAACTGACACTGATAAACATCCATCGACATCTTCAAAAGTACATGGAGCGGTACCTACATTCATTGTCATGTCCTTCATCACTTTGACAATCTCATCAATACTATTCTGAGCTGTCCTATACTTTCCTGTCCAACCAAATGTACTTATACAATAAACTCTATCACTTTATTGACACCTAATGAATGAATGAATGAATGAATGAATGAATGAATGAATGAATGAATGAATATAGAATTGACAAGATCTTAAGTATGATATATCTCTATCTATTTGTATCTTTAGTGTGTACTTCCAGAAGAATAATTGTTGAAAACCACGTTGATTGGTGGTTAATGAATATTGAGAAGTTCGATGGGTTTCGTTCACTCACTTTCTCGCTACACTTCATTTGAGTCACACCCAATCAACAACAACAAGTAGTTAGTTGTACAACAAACTTAACAACCACTCACTTGTATAATCGTCATTATTATTACTTATTTACTTGTGAAACATATAAAGATAAACACACATAATATATTATCTATCATATAAAGATTAAGATTAATTAATTAATATAAATTAGAATCTCGAGATAACAAGATTGATTGATCGATTGATTGATATATAGTGATAGAGACAAGAAAGAGAGGAAGAGAGAGAGAAGGAGTTAAAATAGATATATATATATAGTTCAGGACGATGGAGAATCCAACATCTTCTACTCTTCGTGAGAAGACAGAAGAGTTGGTCAGAAGGAGTATATCAAAGGTAGTGCAATCGGTACTATCAGCACGTGTAGATATACTGCCTCAACAGAAGAAGATAAACAAACATGTATGTAGTTGTCAACTCAATGTCAGTGTTGTACTGATCAATCAATGATACTTACTACCTTACACTTTAGTTTCACATTGAGACTGAGGACTCAGATTCAGTTCAAAAGGTTATAGAGTCGATCATCTTTGCCAGGCATGGTATACGTACCTTGTTCCTGTTGGATATACACTTTGACGAAGGTGGCGAGATGCTAGGATTGAATACTCTAGTCGAGTCATGGAGATTCATCTTTGAACCATAGTATGTTATGTTGCTCTCCCCTAGATTGATCGATTGAATGATTGGATGAATGAATGACTAACAATGATTGTCCCGCACGTGTAGTAAGGATGTGGATACAACATGCGAATTACCAAAGCTATATAGAAACGTTATATTATTAGTTAGAGCATTGTACTCTTTATTGAGGAACCTACCATGTTATCAAGTCTATCGCAACTTTACAAAGAATCGATCGTCCACATCAAAGATCAAGTATCAGATTAGGATATGCGATGTCAACTCTATACACTCACCTTCATTCGCATTATGTAGGTGTTCTCGCGTCCACTCATTCACTCAATCAATCACTAACTCGATCACTCTTATATAGCCACTCAAACTAAATCATTTGTCTTTACACATATACCTACACCATTGGGAGTGTGGCGAATGGATGTAGCATACAAGGAGGATCTGACGCGCGAGATATCCATCAGCTCACAGCTGGGACTGGACTCACAGTTTATTATAAAGGACTACAACAACAACAACTATTACAGACACGAGTCAGCGACGACACCACAGCAATCCACACCACTAAAGTCCACGCCACCCAGCGGACATTACTCTAGCAGCTATGGCAGCAGTACTCCCATCCCCATGCCAGCCACCGCATCGCTGCCTATCAAGCAGACCTCGCAGCAGCAACAGTATCAGCCCCAGCCCGCACCATACTACAGCAGTAGCAGTGGCAAGGGCGACACGTTCAGACCGTCCTCATTTGGCTCCAATGACTCATACGACTACTACACTCACTCTGGTGGCAGTGGCATTGGCAGCTACAGCAGTGGCGGTGGAATGATGTACCAACAACAGCAACAGCAACAACAACAAATACTCCAACAGCAGCAACAACAACTACTACAACAGCAACAACAACAACAACAGGACGTCAAGAGTAGCAATCCAATCATTATACCAAACTCTGCGAACAATGTACATAGTTATAAGAAGCAATCACCAAGTTCATTGGCTTCTCCCATCAATGCGACACCAGGCACATCACACTCGCCTCCCTTCTATGTATATTCGACGTCCAATCCAAAGTCAAGCTCAAACTCACCAGGTCAACTACAACAATACCAATATCAACTACAGCAACAGCAACTACAACAACATCAACTACAACAACAACAGCAACAACAACAGCAACTACAACAGCAGCAACAACAACAACAACCTTTGGTCATTAGACAACTCAACTTTACACCTCAACCATCACCAGCAGCACAACATCAGGTGTCACCCACATCGGCACTCAGACACAGATCGACCTCTGCCCCCATCGCCATTGCCCCTCAACCTCAGATGTACCAGCAGGCACCTCAGCCAATATTCGCCAAGCAGCCAAGCATCAACGACCTCCAACAATACCAAGCCACACCACATTCATTCACAACTGGCGTATCGCCTCCATTTAACAACAGCAGGGAGACGCATCTTAGCCAACAGAAGCCGCCCAGTGGCAACAACTCAAACATCTCGACCAGCAGCGGCATCAACAACACTCACTCATCCTCCTCGTTCAAGAGCTCGATCAACTCCAAGCTCAGCCAGATACATGGCCCTCTACTCCTGTCAGACCCGCACAAAGAACATGGACTAGGTCATGGACTGGGCCTGGGTGGACTTGGCCTGGGCCTAGGACTAGGACTCGACTCACAGATACCATCGACCATTGAACATGACGAGCCGGCCTTTGCCTCGGCCATCAGCTCCGTGTCCAAGACGTCAGACAGCGAAGTGGGCGAGTTTGTTCGACTGTGCAAGATTGCGCCGCCACTCAAGCTGTTCAACGCGGCGTTCTCTTCCGAGGCCCCGCTGTCCATTGATCAAGATGTTCTAGACTTGAGTCGTCTCAGTCTACAGACAGCCAGTGGCAACAACAACAATAATGCCAACAAATAAACCTCGCGAGCATTTTCATTGTTTGTTGTATTGTTTACCCATCAATCACACTAGCGTGTGGTGTCGTTTTTGATCAGAAAGATCAAAGGCAAAGTGACTCACACACTCCCCAGCACCACACCGACCTCCTTCCATCTCAATCTTATTACTTTTCACTCACTCACTCATCTTTCAATCATTCATTCATTCAAACAAATACATAAACATGATACAGAACACATTTGTTGCAACTGCAGTGTTGGCAACGATCATACTCTGTAGCAGCATGGTGACTGTTAGCTCAGTCGTCATTCGCCCAAACAATGACAATCAAGACAAATGTGATGGGTAACTATCCTGTTGTTTGTTGGTCACATGATCATGATGGACTCACTCACTCAATCACTCACTCACTCACGATCAATCAATCATACAGTGGAAGGATGTACATTGCAGAGTCTATTCCACTTTTTGTCAACTTGACTACTAATGTGTCGACTTATGATGCTTGGATGTCATTGATCAATAATGCTCAGGAGACTATAGATCTTGGATTGTTCTATATGACATTGACGGATGGAGCATCATACCCATCAGAGTATGGTGGATACATGGGAACCAACTTTTACAAGGCACTGATCACTGCCGCCAACCGTGGCGTCAAGATTAGAATCGTTCAGAATGAGCCCAGTGCCAGCATGCCAGCCAACGACACTGAGGCACTGGCTGCAATGGGTGCCGCTCAAGTACGCACCATCAACTGGGAGGCCTTGGTTGGCGCTGGTATCCTTCATACCAAGATGATTGTTGTCGACAGGATTAGTATGTCTTGGAGTTTGATTGATTGAGTGATCGAGCGAGTGAATGGATGGACTAATCATAACCTTCGCGCAACATAGATGCCTACGTTGGAAGTGCCAACTTTGACTGGCGCTCACTGGCACAGGTCAAGGAACTTGGTGTGATCGTCGAGAACTGCAAGAGTTTGGTCGAGGACACCAGGGTCGCATTCGAGCAATACTGGGATGCCGCCAACATGTCCCAATTGCCACCAAAGTGGCCAGCAAAGTATGTTGAAGGTGTGGACACGAGTGATTGATTGAGTGAGTGAATGACTAATCATTGTGGACACGACACATCAGGGATGATGCCAAGTACAATCAAACACATCAGGCTCAACTCAACTTGAATGGACAGGACGTCTCGATGTTCTTGGCCGTGTCCCCACCAGAGTTTGTCTCGAAGCACAGATCTGGAGATATTGATGCTTTGGTCGCAGCCATCAACGCAGCCAATCAATCAGTGTGTATCTCTGTTATGGACTACGCCCCAACATCATTCTACAACTATCCCAACACCTTTTGGCCAGTGATTGACAATGCACTCAGAGCCGCTGCCTTCAAGTATGTTCATTCAAGCTCATCCATGCACTACACGCACTCATCCTAACTCACTCATTCAATCAATATATAGCCGCCACGTCAGTGTCAGAATGCTCATCAGTCATTGGAACAGCACCAACATGAAGATCATCCCTCAGTTCTTGCACTCACTGGATGCCGTCACCAACATTGACGTGAGATGGTTCCAGATTCCTGACCTACCTTTCGAGCCCCAAGTCCCATACACTCGTGTCAATCATGCCAAGTACATGGTGACCGAGCAACAATCCTATGTTGGCACATCCAATTGGTCCGAAGACTACTTCACCAACACCGGAGGACTGAGCTACAACATCATCAACGCCGACTTTACCGCACAGCTCCAGTCCATCTTTAACCGTGACTGGGATTCACCCTACGCCCTTCCAGTATCCACCTGGTAATCTAGTATTCTTAATACAGTTCATTCATTATTCATGGATTGGTACTTCCCTTACATTACCCTTACCCTACCCTTACCCTTGCCCTTGCCCTCGCCCTTGACCTTGCCCTGGTCTCCAATCCTGGGGATACTTTTGTTTTGCCAATCTCAAGTTGACTCACACTACCACATGAATGTCCTTTCATGCTGTTTGTGGTCCATTCACACTTCATTCATTCACTTGCAGCATCATCACTCATTGCCATTCAATCATCAATCAATCAATCAATATATCGATATACATATATACATAACAACAACAATGAACTTGAGTAACTGTAAAGATAAACATCCAAACTTATTGTTTGCAAACTTTAATCAAGATTACAGTTGTTTCGCAAGTGGAACAGAGAGAGGATTCCTCATATTCTCATGTGATCCATTCAAAGAGAGATTCGGAAGAGGTATGATTGGACATGATCAATCAATCAGTTGACACTCATTCACTCACTAAATCAATCAATCATTGGAACAAATAGTATTCGATGGAGGTGTAGGAATTGTAGAGATGTTGTTTAGATGTAATATCTTGGCAATTGTTGGAGGAGGTACAAAGCCAAAGTATACACCGAATCAGGTGATGATTTGGGATGATTATCAGAACAAATGTATTGCAAAGTTGGAGTTCAAGTCTGAGGTCAAGGCGGTAAAGTTGAGACGCGACAGGATCGTCGTGGTGCTCGAGAACAAGGTCTATGTGTACAACTTTGCCGACCTCCAACTGGTGCACCAGCTAGAGACCACCAACAACCCCAAGGGCATTTGCGCCGTGTGTCCGGGCGCGGCCAACGTGCTGGCGTGTCCCGGTCTGAAACCAGGCTACGTCCACGTCGACCTCTACGACCAGAAGAAGACACAGATCATCGCCGCACACGAGTCGGCGCTCTCACAGATCGCCCTCAACAAGGATGGCACGCGTCTGGCCACGGCCAGCGAGAAGGGCACGCTGATCCGTATCTTTGACACAGCCACCGGCGAGAAGATCAAGGAGGTGCGTCGTGGCACGCACCGAGCAGAGATATACAGTATTGCGTTCAACAACGAGTCGACAGCACTATGTGTCAGCAGCGACAAGAACACCGGCCACATCTTTGACCTCTCGCGCTCGGCGCCCGCCACCGTGCGCGAGCCAGAGTCCGATGGCAAGAACCGCCAATCAAGCTTCTCCTTCATGGGTGATATACTTCCAACCAACTACTTCAAGTCTGAATGGAGTGCTGTACAGTTTCAAATACCAGAGTCAAGGTCAATATGTGCATTTAGTGCCGCTCCAAACTCTATCATCGGTATGTATTACATCACTTTGGCTTGGCTTGGCTTGGCCTGGCATCAATCACTAACTCAATCAATCAATCAACTTGCTACATCACAGTGATATGTGCGTCAGGTGTATGTTATAAGTATACTTACGACTTTGCCAAGGGCGAGTGTAAGAGAGATGAAAGTCCCCTGCAGTTCATGGAGAATGATGAGACACCTGCATCCTAAAATGATTGGCCAAATCAATACCAGCAGCCAGCCACTCGAGTGGCTGTGGCCAACCAAACAGCATCATTGGCAGCAGCAGCACCAAGCCCAAGCACAAACATAAACATCGATCAGGTTCGGTGATTGTGTAGTATTATAATATTATAATCATTAATAATAATAATAACTATATCCAGGTATCCCATTCATTCATCTATCCAGCGCCGACCAATCTGTACACTCAGTCAACCAGCTGGCTGGCTGGTCAGTTGATGTCAACCATCAGACAAATGTACAGGGTTGATGACAGCAATCTAGATTGATGATTGATTGATTAATGGATGGAGAGTGGATTTCTAGAATCACCAACACTTGATCACGTCACGCACATGGCACACAAAGTGAAGTGAAGTTACTTCAATAATGACCATAACGGACGGCGTGTTTTCATTCGTATTCTAGATTGAGGAGTTCTTAACAGGCGTGATCAAAATTTCGACTTGGGTCCTTGAGATCAGACCGAGTCCCCCTTTTGGCCCTCGTCAATAAGGTCTAAAGGTTACACGGCCCTGATCAAATGGACGTCACTGTGTGTATGAGAGATCCAATGTAATCTCGGCGTATTTATGAACATTGGTCAATTGACTATCCATATATATTACATTATTATGATCATGATCACCTTCAGACATGATGACAGCCATCCAGCCAACAATACACTCATCTAACCTTGCGCACTTTTAGATGTTGCCAAAACTCCAATTCAAATTTTAGTGTGCTTCGGCGTTCGATTCTTGCTTCCCCTCCATTCTAAAGGGGGAATGATGGATTGGCCGTATCCCACATGTTTAACTTACCCGAGAGTGGTAGTCCATCGATCACAACAAGCCAATATATAAAGGTCTTCATCATTACTTGTTGGCATATGATCTTACAGTTACATACACATATTAAACCTATATCCTATCCTATCTTACCTTATAATACCAAGAAAACATCATTCCTGCGCTTGACGACTTCGCGCCAATTCACTACTTTCTCACAAAGCAACATCAACATTGTCCAATACCAAAAACAATAGTTATATATAATATATTAAAGTCTTTTACTATTTTCCAAATTAGTTAATTAGTTAATCCAATTGTCAATATCCCAAACATGTAAGTAATTACACTCATTCGTTCTTTCATTCATTCATTCGTTCATTCAATCCAACCATCATTATCAACATCTGATCCTACAACTTATTTTCGTTACCTTGTGTATAAGTGTGTGTGTATTGTTTCAACCAAGGAAGGCAATCTTAAGACCTCTAACCTGATATGGATGTCCATGTTGCCATTGGAGCTTATACTATTTCCCATTCCAGAAGTGTTTGGAAAGCCCCAACAAATTCGTCTTTTTAAATCATACCAAAACATAAAAACCCGTTGATTGAGCTATTTTTATTCACAAACCACATACATGTGTTCAGAAAGAATCGTTTGTTATGTTTATCTTTGTGGTGTGTGTGGATGGGGATGGATGGGCGGGTCTGGTCAAACAACAAAAAGACGAAGGGAAGGACCTTCCCTTCTAATCTTCTTCGACCGGGGACATGCTTAGGACCTCATTCATCATCATCATCATTCAATCCACATGACCTTATCTTATCAATAGCCTACTTGTTGGATCAACAAACACATAAACACAGATATATACCATCATCATACCCTCACACAAACATACATTAACAAACAAACATTGATCATTAAAGTTTAAAACATATATATATAGAATAGAGAATGGAGAATGAGATTGTAAGTTCTCCAGCTCCAGTGGAGGGAGCATCATTGGAATTGGAAATGGGTGTGATGTCATCCCCACCCACACCCACATCCTCACATGGACATCAGGATACATCGATTGATAATGGTCACCATCAGACCATTGAGGTCAACACTGATCTGTCCCAACACATCAGACAGTATGCCAGCCCTGCAAAGACTGGAATGTACGTCAGTGCCAAGAATCTGTCATACTACGTGGCCAACACATCGGCCTCCAAGCACGCCACTGTCAACGAGAAGAAGACCTACCTCATCAAGGACTTCTCGTTCACCATGCAGCCAGGCCGCATGGTCCTGCTGATGGGCGCGCCAGCCTCGGGCAAGAGTGTGTTGCTCAAGGTGCTGGCCAACCGTCTGGGCGAGGGCAAGGTCGAGGGCGAGCTGACCTTCAATGGACACGAGGCCGACGAGGCCACTCATCACAAAGACACAATCTACGTGCCACAAGACGACGTGCACGTGCCACTTCTCACCGTGCAAGAGACGCTCGACTTCTCAGCACAGTGCAACATGGGCTCGACTGTCGATCAAGAGACCAAGAGCGAGCGTGTCGACATGATCCTCAGCGAGCTGGGTCTGAGCCACACAAGAAACACCATCGTTGGCAATCAGTTCTTCCGTGGAATCTCTGGAGGCCAGAAGCGACGTGTCACAATCGCCAGCGAGTTTACAAAGTGCCCCAACCTCATATTGATGGACGAGCCCACCACTGGTCTGGACTCGGCCACCGCCTACAGTGTCTGCAACAAGGTCAAGACCATCGCTCAAGAGGGCAAGGCTGCAGCCATCATCTCATTGTTGCAACCAAGTCCAGAGTTGACCGATCTCTTTGATGACATCATGTTGCTAGGAGAGAAAGGACAACTTGTATACTTTGGACCAAGAGATCAAATACTTACATGTATGTATATGCTGTCAGCTGACATGCATGTAATGGGGGATAGTTCCATCAATACTAACATTCATTCATTCAATCAATCAAACAGACTTTGAATCAATTGGATTCAAACCAAACATGGATCAACCAATGGCTGAGTTTATCCAGGACATGGTTGAGGACTCTCGCAAGTACTCATCAACCTCAAACAGAGCTGAGTTGCTGGACAGCAACATACCAAACACCATCCAACTTGATGTATTATTTAAACAATCACCATGTATGTATCCATCACTATCCATTCACTCAATCAATTAAAGACCAGACTCACTAACATATTGAATGAATGGCCAACCCATCCAGATTACCAAAATGTTCAAGAAAGGATCAGAGGACTGCTGCCATCGACACCTTTGGTTGACTATTCACAGTCGGAGAATATAATGTCACCTCTGTGGTATGATATCAAGTTGTGCTTTGATCGCCAAATCAAGATCATGCGCATCATGAAGATGCAGTACATTGTCCGTTTCGTCCAGGCTATATTCATGGGCTTCGTGCTGGGCTCATTGTTCTTCCAAATGGGCGAGACTCAAGCTGATGGCAGGAACCGCTTTGGTCTACTATACTTTGCCATGGTGCTCCACATCTGGACCACCTTTGGTTCGGTCGAGGAGTTCTACCAACTGCGTTCAATCTTCTACGCACAAAAGGACGGCAAGTTCTACAGGACATTCGCATACTTCATCACAATGGTCGTCAGCAAGTTCCCCGTGTCATTGATCGAGGCCACATTGTTCAGTATCACATGTTACTGGATCTCTGGCTTCCGCGCACGCGCCGACAGCTTCTTTGTGTTCATCATCTGTATGGCCTTGGTCAATGTCGTGGCACAGGGCGTCTTCCAATTGGCATCATCCTTCTCTGACTCGCAACTGGTCACATCGATGGTGACCCCCGCCGTGGTCATCCTATTCATGGTGTTCAGTGGTTTCATCTTGCCTAAGCCCAACATCCCCAACTGGTGGATCTGGATGTACTACCTGTCGCCACTCAAGTACGTGTTGGACGCCATCGCCTCCAATGAGATGTATGGTCGCTCGTTCCACTGCGCGCCCAACGAGCTGATCCCACCCACCAACATGACTGGCTGGGAGGGTGCCCTGCGTATCTGCCCAATGAACTCTGGCTCGGACTTCCTCAAGGTGTTTGGCTTTGAGAACAACTTCTACTGGCGTTGGATCGACATCGCTATCCTGGTCGGCTTCTCCGCATTCTTCTTTGCTCTCTTCTATATTGGACTGCGCTTTGTCAAGTTCGAGGTCAAGAAGCCACCCAGAACCATGCAGGCCAAGAAGATCAAGGCAAAGAAGGACAACAAGAGCGCAAATGCCAAGCAGTCCATGACTGGCGGTTGCTACATGACCATCCAGAACCTCAACTACACAGTCAACTCGACCGCCAAGAATGCCCAGACTGGCAAGAACGAGAAGGTCACACTGCAGTTGCTCAAGAACATCAACGGTTTCGTCAAGCCTGGTTTGATGGCCCTGATGGGTCCATCTGGCGCTGGCAAGTCCACCTTGCTCGATGTGCTCTCCAAGCGCAAGAACATTGGTGTGATCAAGGGCGATATCATGATCAACAACGTGCCAATCGAGAACATCAACATCACTCGTTTCGCCGCCTACGTTGAGCAGCAGGACGTGCTGTCTGCCAACCTCACCGTCAAGGAGGCCATCTACTTCTCTGCCCTGTGCCGTCTTCCGGACTCCTTCCTCAACGAGGACAAGATCAAGCTGGTCGACGACATCCTCAAGGTGCTCAGCTTGACCAAGCTGGCCAACGTCAAGATTGGACCCAACCCAACAATGGGTATCTCATTGGCCAACAGAAAGAAGGTGAGCATTGGTATTGAGCTCGCCTCTGACCCCCGCCTGCTCTTCCTCGACGAACCCACCTCTGGTCTGGACTCTGCCGCCGCCCTCAAGGTGATGAACTGTGTCCGCAAGATCGTCCAGAGTGGAAGAACCGTCATCTGCACCATCCATCAGCCATCCCAAGAGATCTTTGAGCAGTTTGATCAGATGCTTCTCCTGTCCAAGGGTGAGGTCATCTACTTTGGCGAGACTGGCACCAACAGCCAGATCGTCGTCGACTACTTTGCCCGCCAGGGTCATCAGATGCATGCCGACCGCAATCCATCCGACCACATCCTTGAGATTGCTGAGACCACCAGCAACACTGGAGAGAGCCCAATCGAAGTCTACCGCTCATCCGAAGAGGCTCGCATCACTGTTGAACAACTCACCAACAAGACCATCGTCCCCGAGGATGCCACCGTTCCAAAGTTCCGCTCTAACTACGCCGCACCCTTCCGCACTCAGCTTTACGTCCTGGTCAAGCGCGCATGGCTCAACCACATCCGTCGTCCACAGACCATCTTGATCCGTTTCCTCCGTTCAATCGTCCCCGCACTCGTTGTTGGCACAATGTTCTTGCGTCTCGACAATGACCAACCGGGCGCCAGAAACAAACTGGCAATGATCTTCCTCAGTTTCTTGTTTGGTGGCATGGCTTCAATCTCCAAGATCCCACTCGTTGTCGAAGACCGCGCTGTCTACTACCGTGACAACTCATCCGGCTCCTACCCATCAGTACTCTACATCATTGCCTCAGTGATCACCGATATACCAATGATGATGTTGACCGCCTTTGTCTTTTGGATTCCATTCTTCTGGCTCACTGGCATGGACCCAGGACACAACGGATGGAAGTTCTTCTTCACCCTGCTCATCTATCTGTTGGTCTGTATGGCCTACGACAACATGATGGTGGTGTTTGCTCTGGTACTGCCGACGGTACCAGTTGGTGTTCTGCTTGGAGGCATGGGACTCAACTTCCTCGGACTGTTTGGAGGATTCTTCATTCCAAGGACCAACATTCCCGGTGGATGGATATGGATGCACTGGCTCACATTTACACGATACGCCTTTGAATCACTGGGTGTCACCGAGTTGCATGGCGCCGTCTTTGATTGTCCAAACGGTGAGGGTTCATTCCCGATCCAATTTAACAATGGCACAACAGTACCTTTCTGTCCAATCAGACTTGGAGATGCAATGTTGGATCGTTACGGTTTGGATCCTTCCCGTCAGTTCTGGAATGTTCTCATCCTTTCATGTTACAACATTGGTTTCATAATTCTTGGTTACTTTGCACTCACTTACATTCGTCATATGAAGAGATAATAAGAATGATTGAATGTTTATAATTATTATATATAACAATAAAGTTATAGTTTATACTTTACCTTTATATCTTTACCTCTATCTTTATGAACACAATCATTGATGAATGATAAGAGATTGCAAGACAATGAGCAAGGTGAGCACATAATAATATGTATTATTCTTGGTAACCATGTTAAAACATCAATATTATTTACTTATTTGTACATTCAGATTCATTCGTATTTGATCTTGAGCCAATAGATGGTGCCCGCATCATTGCCCCATTCGGAAATCATGTTCATAATTTGATAGGAATGACTCCCTAACCCCCACCTCATACCTCAACAACCTTCCCACACGCCAGACCACCACCTCTAATAATTTTAAAATTGTGCTGAAGAAGAAGGATGACGGATGTGTGAGTAATTTTTTTTGAAATAGGTGGCTGTTTGTTCACACTCAAAGGGTTCGCTCCAAATAAACAACACAACAGGCATGCCAACAACAAAACCAAGTTTGAACAGCATCATCATTATTGCATTCATTCATTCATTCTTTCAATCATTCAATCATTCAATCATTCAATCATTCAATCATTCAATCCATTTATTTGTTTTGTTCAACAGTTATAAGATAAGATATAGATATACAGATAACATCTGTTAATAACTATTTTATAACTCTAATTCTTATCTGTATATAAATAATATAATATAATTATAAGTATAAGTTTATATCTCTATTTATTATTTATTGGTTATTTAGGAGTATATTATTATATAATTAATAGACAAATAATAGATAAATAAGAAGATGTATCAAGCTAGGTCTAGAGCTGGCGAGCTCTTAAACGAGTTGAAGAATGAAGTTGATAACCTCAATCATGATTTAGGACTTTACAAGATACATAAAGATGAATACGAACGAAAGTGTAAGCAATTGTCATAGTTTGTTTGATTGATTGAATTGAATGATCAATTTAAACGCGTATTTTCAATTGGACCTAACACCCTCATTCACTCACCCAATCAAATCGGGCCGAACGAACAATCACTTTTGAACTTCAATCAACTTAAAATTACCATTACCCGAAACGAAACGAAACAAAACAAACAGTCCAAAGTCAAATGCAAGAATTGCAACATATACAACAAAGTCTGATAGAGTTGGAGAGAACTCATAATAGGGTCAAGGGTCAATATGAGGACGAGATTATGAGGTTAAAGAAACAGTTGGAGCAGGCGACAGGATCGAGGGATCTGAACAGCCCAAGCACATTCAGATCACAGAGTCCGGCGCCAGCATCAGTCGGCCAGGCCCGAAGCACACCGACTCCAACCATCCCAGACAAAGCCCCGCGCAGACGCTCCGGCGAGTTCTATCCACAGCAGCCAGGTCAACCACCTCAGCTTCCACAACAGGGTGGTGGTGGTGTTGGCGGCGCACCCTCCTTCCCAGCGCTGTCCTCAATTGACCAACGACTCAAACAGGAAAAGAAGGGAGTTGAGATTGAGCCAATGGAGCAACAGCATCCAAAGGAGAATATGGGAGATGAAAGAAGAAGATAGTATGTTGATGCTGATGTTGAACAACATGTTGGACGATTCTAGCTCACTCACTAACATCATCCACACAACTACATTAGTAGCGAGGCAGATGATAATGCCAAGGAAGGACAGGATTGGCTAGTTGGATACAATCCAAATGTACAAACAAACTTGAACATAGATTTGGCGCACACTTTTATGCATGGCAGCGTCGTGTGCTGTGTAAAGTTCAGTCCAGACGGCAAGTACCTGGCATCAGGCTGCAACAGAAATGCAACAATATACGACACTGAGACAGGAAGAAACGTTTGGTATGTAACCCAATCGATCAATCACACGCAGGTTTCAAGATTCTAACAATAATCAACTCTTAGCCAATTCTATGATGATGGAGATAAGGAGGGCGACCTCTACATTCGATCAGTATGTTTCAGTCCAGATGGAAAGTATCTGGCAACAGGAGCAGAGGACAGGACTGTCAAGGTTTGGGACATTGCGCACAAGAAGGTGCACCAGAAGTTCAGCGGACACGAGTTGGACATTTACTCGTTGGACTACTCCCAAGACGGCAGGTTCATCGTATCCGGCAGTGGAGATAAGAAGGCAAAGATCTGGGATCTCAAGGAAGGAAGAGTATGGACATCAATCAATCAATCAAATGTTCATGATCAATCAAACAACTTACTGACACATTTTCAATCAATCACATTAGTGCGCATTCACATTGGGCAATGAAGAGGTAGGACCAAAGAATGGAGTCACTTCTGTTGCGATCAGTCCTGATGGACGTTTGGTGGCGGCTGGATCGCTCGACAATATCGTCAGACTTTGGGACGCCCATTCAGGCTACTTCCTCGAGAGATACGAGGGTCACATGGACTCGGTCTACTCGGTGGCCTTCTCGCCAGACGGAAAATCTTTGGCATCAGGCAGTCTCGACAAGACACTGAAGCTTTGGGATCTGTCTGGCTCAAGGTCGCGCTCAAGATGTCGCTCCACATTCACTGGCCACAAGGACTTTGTCCTGTCAGTGGCCTTCTCACCATGTGGCAATTGGTTGATCTCTGGCTCCAAGGATCGATCAGTGCAATTCTGGGACCCCAAGACAGGCACAACTCACATGATGCTGCAGGGACACAAGAACTCAGTCATCTCTGTGGCCCTGTCGCCCAAGGGCGGTCTGTTTGCCACTGGCAGTGGAGACTCGAGAGCAAGACTTTGGAAGTATGACTCCTAGACACACATTGTCCATGTCCAGGTCATTCCATCTCTCTCTCTTCACATCCCTCTCTTTCCCAAATATCACTGCGCACCTGGGGTGTGCTCAACAAGCAACGACGCCATCACCAAACGTTGTGACAATATGCGTTTCATGTTCATTATAGCTCTCTTCTCTCTCTACTCTATACACAACACAGCAAGCAAAGCAAAGCAAATCAAAGCATAGCATCATTCATTCTCTTCGTCAACATCTGGTCAAATGATTCAAGACCATATGCATTCATAACAAAGCCTCTTTCCTACTCCACCTCCTCCTTCACTCCTTTTCATTACCATCAACCACAACAACATCCACAACACACAACGACAACATCCAGCCAACAGCAACATACACAAAATGAAATAAAGTTCCACAGGTATAGAAGACAAGCAAGTTACTCATGTTGATGTTTATTATGATCCAATCCAATCGATTAGCTGCAGCTCTGGCAGGTGTATCCTTCTGTCAAATGGAGGACACTTGTGTGTTAGTAGGGGAATGAGGTGGATGTATCCACAAGGTACTTACTGGACTTGACATTGTCAAGTGTGTAGAACTCTCCTTGTATCTCATTCTTGCACTTGACACACTTGAAACAGTGTCTATGGTATCTCTCCTCGGGACTAATGACAATGACGGTGCCCTCGGCAGTGTTGCAACCCTTTGTGCAGAATCCACATGGACCCATCTCCTTGCCAATGGTCTTTTTCTCCTCGTTCTTGAGATGCTCGTTGCAGGCGGTACACTTGATCTGTCCGTTCCTGACAAAGAACTGTCCATCCATCGCTATATTACATGTTGTGCATCTGAAGCACTCGGGATGGTAGTGCTGGCCAATGTTGTCTGTTAACTTCTGTCCAGTGATTGGTGTGTGGCAGCTGACACACTTGTCGAGCGCAGTGCGTTCATAGTCCACCTTGCACAATGGTTTTCCAGCTGAGCTGAGGAAGTATGACTTCAATGGTTGATTGCCTGTCATGTTGTTTGGTTAACCATTTGTGATTGATTGATTGATTGATTGATTGATCGATCGACCCTCTCTCTACCTTGTCCCATCCTGTCCATCCTTGCCAACCGCACACCTGCTCCACCTGCCGCTTCCTTTGTTACCTACACATGCTGCAAGTGAAACACTTGGCGCACCAATCAGCATCCAGGGCATGGACTGTCTCTCCAACAATCTCTGTTGAGCACTTTCTGCATTTGGAAGTGGCGGTACCTATGGTGTCATTGATTGATTGATTGATTGATTGATTGAAAGAGTAAGTGAGTGAGTGAGTGATGGGAGGTGTTCAAACTGATGAGTCAAATAGGTTATATAACTTACTCATTCTTGTTTAATGATGATAATAGGTATTTATTTAATATTTATACAAATAATAGATATGATTGGAGTGTGTAAACTAACAACAATGTAAGAAATTGATCAAAGTGTGAACAGTGAATTGAATCAAAACTGGCTTTGTTGGGTGTTTTGATCACTTTTTCAAATAAAACCACATTTCTTCAATGAGAGTCTTGTTTGTTTTTGAAACTTCATAAAAGAGATTGCGCATCTCGGCCAACTTGCCTTGTGCTGCATATTCGACAAGAGCTTTCCCAATGGGAATACCCTTTGTCTTGTAATTGTCCACTTTGAAGGGCAACAGATAGATATTAAAATAGGTATCATCATCTTCCATCGTATTGTAGCGCGAACCCCTTTGAGATTTGATGTTGACGAATTTGGCCGCTACCTTCTTGGTCATCCTACTACCAGGGATGTCGAGTGATGAAACCACATGTCCGACCATGATCTGGTGTTTATCAGGGTCGATGATATTGGCAATCATAATGCCAATATTGGGATGGACCAACGCCCAATCTTTTGGATCAAATGTTGCGCCAGACATGAGCTTTATGGGCAAGCAAAGATGTTTATGCTTGTCCAAGATCATCGTAGCGCTGATCTCATCGCCAACTATTGCCGCCATACCCAAGGCAATCGAATAGTCTGTTTTGAGATATTTGTGTCCTTGCTCGAGTCGCTCGATAACCTCTCGATCTCCTGCTTTGATGGCGCTCGCCATCACATTTTTGTAGGAATGGTGGAGGTTTGGCACTTGGAACAATCGAGCAATCAAGTCAAGCGATATTATTGAGTGATGGATGTCCACAATGAACATTTCCGCTGCAACGTTGACTGCAGTAGATCGTTCAACAGGTGGAGCTCCGAGAATGTAATTGACAACGTACAGATGTCCATTGGATAGAGCTTCTCCAAGGTATGGCAGCATTGAGAAGCACCAATTGTGGAGCGTTTGTAGCATGTTGTTTGCATTTATGACAATGGCCAAGTGTCCTTTGGCTGATGCCATTGAGAATATGTTCTCCAAGTGCTCGGGCAACAGGACGTTTGAGCCAGCCATTATTCCAAACAACTCTAGATTGCCATTACTACTGCACTCGGGTACCAGATATTCAAGGTTGGTCTCCAGTATCGTTGGATAATGTTGGAGAATGAAGTTGGTGATGTGATGCAGATGATCCTTGGTTGACATGCTGAGGATGGTGCACATTGACTTGTCGTTGACAATGTTCTTCTCGTGGAGGAGTTGAAGCATCTCCATCGCCCAGGGTTTGGTCAGCCAGGGGAAGAGGTACTTGACATCCTTGGGGTAGATGTATTCTTTGAGTGGCTTGATATCCACGCCACTCAAGATACATTGACGCAGGAATAATGGATCATCCAGCTGGACCATATAGTTTGGAGCAATCTCAATCCTCCTCTGTGACATCCATATTACATCCTCCAATATCTGGGTCCAACTTGGATCGGAGCATTGTGATAGGTATTTGGGATCAACGATCCTAGTGCCATTCCCCATCCCCATTGTCAATGATGGGAGGGCATAGAGTGTCGAGAGTGTATGATTGTCGGATCGATTGATGGCCACATCCATTAGCTTTTTGTTGAAGGGATAAGGATATGGACGAGAGGGTCCAGCATAGTGATCGTCGAGTGATTTGACCAGCCACTCAGTGGCGCCATACTTGATGTAGTCGTGGAGTGATTCGTTGTACAACAGTTGTCGACCCTTGATCAACTTGTTCGAGTTGATTCCCAACCTGTCCCTGAAGATATTACTAACATGACCTATGATGGCCATGCAAAGCTTTGCATCTCCAAGTACTGAGTGAGCAGCGACATTCAAGCGTCGGCAAGCAATAGTCTCTTCAGCCTCATCCATGACGATGTCATTTGAACTTTGATTGATTGATTTATCGATTGAGTGGAGTAGTTCCAAAGGAGAGGTGTATTAGTGTTTAGTCGCAGGTGTCTCTCAATCAATCAAGTACATACCATGGGACGAGATTGATGGACTCAATCTGTTTGTTACAGAACTGGATGATGTGTGTGTGACCATGATCATATGCAGATTGAATGATCGTGTGGATGATACGGAGCAAGTGTACCTTGGGTACATTGTCATTGATTATTGTTGATTTGATGGAAAAGTAGTACTCCAATGTTTTGTAAGAGTTGGATTTGGTTGCCTGGATTAAAGAGTCCGTGTATGGGAAGTTCATATTGGGTCGATGTTCAATGAAGTGAGGTCGCAACACTTCAAGTGCACGAGGATTGTCCAGTTTGATTGCCATATTGGAATGAAGTACTCCACTATCGTTGTCATTGGATAWWATATATTGAGCAGTACATGTTGGAACACCTCCAGTTTGTTCTTGATGGCGTGGATACATATCCCGGGATTGTTTTGGAACAACAAGGGCTTGTGATGTCGAAGAAGCTCAATCGACTCAATCGATCCAATGCTCACCAAGTTTATCAATGCATTGCCAGTATGCTCTTGGCTTGGTTGGAGACCGGCCTCGAGTAGGTGTTTCATGGTCTCGTAGCATCCACGTGTGATGGCCCTGACTAGACACACACCATTTAGTTCTTGTCCCGTTGTTTTGGCAACTAGTAGCATGAGTGGCAGTGAGATTCCAGCTGATGTAGTCAACGCATTGTCCTCGAAACCATTGGTGATGTGAGAGCTGTAAGTGCAATTGGTGAGGTAGCTGTAACCAATATCGGTTGGAAGTGTGTTGTCGCGTATGGCCACGATAAGCCATGATAGGTTGGCCGAGTTGAGGGATCGCGGATGGTTTGGTCGACGCGTGACAATGAACGTACATAGCTCAGGAGTGAGGTTGCCCCAGATAGGCGAGTCTTTTCCAAAGGCCTGCGGGTACCAATCAAAGATGGCTTCCGCAGCGTGCTGGTTGCCATTCTTCAGCACAGAGGCCATCTCAATCATTGGTCTCAGGACCAGGGATAGTAATGGTGGCGGTGCCGATCGTAGTTTGGCGACTTCGGGTTCGAGTGAAGCTGCCATGGTCCACGAGTCATCATCGAGCAGGCACCTCTTCAGGTGATCGATGATATGAATTTGTCCATGCTTGCCAGCAAGTGAAATGATCTTATTGATGTTGGTCGTGATGTTGGATATGTTCATGAGTCTGACCAGGATATCCAAGTGACCGATTGTTGCTGCGGTGAAGATTGCTGTGTCGTATACGAGCCCGTCATGCTCGGAGACCGGCTCGTTATCCAGTAGGAACTGAACGCTCTCCAAACATCCTTGCTCGGTACATTGCAACAAGAACTGTCTCCATAGGTTCTCGTTGGAGTAGAGTATACTCATGCCGTGGAGGGTCCTCAGCATGCTCACCTTGACTACCGGTCCTCCTGAGCCCAGGTATCTCATATCCTTGACATCGAACTTCATGCCTGGGTTCTCGTTCAAAGTTTGTATATATCTAGCATTGACGCGTCCTGCCAGCTTGCCAATGTCCACCACATTTAGATTGATCTCTTGTGCGCGACCGTTCTCTCTTGCCATTGATCGCAAAGTTGTCAACATATCGAGATGACATCCATTGCGAACAACATTGTGAATCTCCAATTCCGGTGATACTAGGACCATGTTCATATTCTTAAGTAGATGATTGAAAGCTTTGATATTGTTATATTTGATTGTCGCTGGTAACAATGTATCGTTGACTGGGTATGACTTGGATACACTATCAAACGCTTCAATAAAGTATTGTGTAGCATGATACTTTAACATCTGAATCAAGCTACCATTGGTACATAACTCTTTTCCTTTGATTATTGATTCCAATTTAGTTGTTTTTGTCATCTTATCATCTTCTTCATCATCATCATCATTGTTATAATGACGATTCTTCAACAAGTTATAATCCAACTTATTATTTAGGAAATTTATATGTATTATATTGACATAATGCATCAATTGCCTACACAATACAATGTTCCTAAACACTGAGTGTACAACAATATCCAATAAGTTGTCCATCTCTATATGTATGTATCATTATCTTTGAATGAATCGAGTCAAAAGACCACACTGCTCGACAAGTATCTTGGTCTAGCAAACTTCAATTTGCAAGTTCAGCTTTTCAAAAGTTCGACCAACAGGTCACTCAAACCTCAACCCTTGCCCTCAAGTAAGTAAAGTACATTGAACGATTTAATGATTGACCAAAGATATCTATTCTTTAGTGATATCATTGTTGTTGCGATCTTGAAGTAGTAGTGATGGTAGTAGCCAACCATGTTGTAATAATATCTGTACAATTTGTTGTTGTTCTTCAATTGAGTATTGAATGAAGATTGATTGTTGAGTTGATGATGATGAGGAGGAAGTTGTGAATTGTTTGATTATCTCTCTTATAGTATCATGTGCATCAATAAGTATGAGTTGACGCAGTATGTCAATGGATGGTGGCCAAATGAATGGGATATCATTCCCGGACAAACTAACACAGGTCTTGTCAGGGTCAAAGGCATCGACAATAACTTGGTATATTTGTGGACTGGCGCATGCTTTAGATCCATCCGAGCATAGTATGTCCTTGATGTAATCTCTTTCTGTACGTTTGTGTTCATCTAACCTGCTCCAAATGAATGGTATGACGCCAGGACGCAGTCGCGCGATCGTCTCCAAGCTATGAATGCGGAAAAAGTCGCGTATGTCGCGAGGCAAGAAGTGGCCAGACGTGATTGTGCTACTCCTGTTGGTGTTCAGTGTGCCCGAGAGAAGGTAGTCGACGGTCTCGAGGTTGCCAGCGGCCAGCGCTTGGAACAGCCACTCCTCGACACTGCCATGCGAGCGATTCTCCTGAAGGAACATGATTGATTTGATGTTGCCGCTGTCTCGGCATATACGATCGATGCATCTGTGTTGCGCTATGGTGTCGCGACATAGTACGTACATGCTGGCCAAGAGTGGATACGCGTCTGGTAGGTTGGTCGCGTGCATGAACAGACAGAAGCGAGTCATTGTTGGTTGTCTGGCAAAGTGGCCGTACCCTGTGATGAGCTCAAGCAAGTACAGAGACACGTTGTTGACCATATTCACCATCATAATCATTCCTGGCTGTGCGTGGCACATGAGGACTTGCTGGACGTCGATACTGGCCCTTCCAAGATTGTCCAGGTTGACCTCGAATGTTGATCCCACCGGTCTCCGTGCTAAGATCGCTGGTATGAATGTGGCACGATTGAATTGAATGGCAGTGTTTAGGGCGAGTTGGTGATCGAATAATGTGATAAATGGTGGAGAGATGCTACTCGAGGGTTCACCGCCAGCCTCGTTCCACAGCTGCTCGATTCGCTCAACAATGTCCGATCGATTGGCCTTGATCGCGTCTATATAGAGGTCGCTAAAGCCACATAGTACATCTTGATCTCGTGCCAACAACATATCCATCACCTCTAGTGTGTGTTCGTCGATGGCCAGTGAGTTGACAGGCCATTTGTCAGTGCTGTGATTCGATCGCACCCATCGCTTGTGCTTTGATTGTATGGCGTCGCCCCACTCATCGAGTATGTATCGTGCACATTCAATGTAGCCGCCTCGCAGTGCACCGTCCAACATGTAGGAGTCGCCAAAGATTGTGTTGCCGGTGGGGAATGAGTCTGTGGCTAGCTCCTGGCGCACGAGTTTCAGAATGGCCAGGTTGCCCTTGCCGGCCGCCGTATTGAGGTGCTTGTAGTACTTGGGCGCTTTGGTACTGATCGAGTACTTGGTGTGTGTCAGTATGTCCGTGTTGGCATAGGCGGCCATGTGTCGGTGGTATTCCTCGCAGTCCTTGAGTGCGCGCGGCTTCTCCTTTGCCAACTTGTCATGCACGATTTTGAAGATATCGTATCGCTCATGCTTGAGTGCCGCGCACATCAGGAGATCGAGCTGCTCGTACTTGATGCCATGCTGAGTCTGGTAGTACGTGATCAGTGAGCGGATGTCTGGTGATGCCACCATCGTGGGCTGTCGCCGGGCAAACAGTGGCTCGTGGGCTGCGCCATTTTGGAGACGAAGCAGCGATATGACCACCCCATGAGCATGCGTTGGGTATGAATCGAGGACACGTTGATAGGTCTTGATGTCGGTGTGTTGAGATAGTGCATCGAAGGCCATTTGATAACAGATGTGCTGTGTCATTGATTCGTCGGGGATGTGATCGCACAGTGTATCTATCATGTCCAAGCTTAACCTGATGTCACCGACTGCCGACATCAAATCATTCAACAACAAGATGAATATGTCATGCTTGTCCTCCTCCAGCATTTGTTTAAAGTATGTGATCAAGTATGCCACATGCTTAGACCTGTTTCCTTGCATCATTCTTACAAACAGTGATCTGAATGTTGCGATCAGGGTACTGGCGTGGCGTGTATGAGAGTGATGGTAAGTTGATGATTCCAGATTGATTGATTGGCTAGTGTGATCACACTCACTCACCTTGATGATGATGATTGATCAGATGATTGATTGAGGCTTTGTAGTGATTGCTGTATCAGGTGATGGCCTACAGAGCATTCAGTGTACATGCGATTGAAGAGTTGAATGAATCGTTGAAGGTCATCACCAGTATGTACAAGACATTGACGTAGAGTGATGATATCTGCACCACGTAATGATCTACAATCATCCTCTAACAACCTATTGAACTGACCTGTCCATTGATATACACCTGCACCAAACACTTTATTACATAATACACTCTTCACCAATGTGTCCAAGCCAGACATGTCTCCTCTATCTCTCTCTTTGAACTTGTGTTGGTGATGTTGTTCAACTTGAAGTTTAACTCATTTTCCAAGGATTGTTCAAGTTCACTTCATCATGATGGGGCGAGACAACGGCTTTTGACTCATTCTCAACTAACTACATTCGGACCCAATCAATCAATCTATCAATTATTAGAGTTTGTGTAAGGCATCTCTTGTCCTGAAGACAAGCATATCGTCTATTCCTGCCTCTGAGCAGAGGGCTTTCATAACTTCGGCAAGTGCGAGTGAGGTCGATAATGATGCTGCTTTAATCCTTTGTGTAGATGAAAGCTGGGCGAGTTGCTCGTCGTTGATAAGTCCTCCTAGGGATTTCATTCCGCATATAGTCTTGTCGATGATCTGTTCATTGTCTTTGCACATTATTCCCAAATGATGGCTTGCCTCAATGTGATTGATCGTTGCATTGACAAGCTGTTTCTTAAGATTGATGTGATTATTCCAACTCTTTACAACCTTTGCTATCTTCAAAGAAGTAAAAGCAGTGCGAGGGATATAGGGAAACTTCGGTTTCGGTTGGTTATGACAAAACAATGACGTCTATCAATTGCTATCAACAGTATGACTCTATATTCTTTGTCATAGAGATGGAACAAGGGATCAAGATACATTATGACATTGGGTTTGAGGATGGTGACATTAGTACTCTTTTCTCTGAATTGATTGCTGGAGCTGTAGAGGAGATAGGCTCATCCGATTCTGGTAACAGTGGAGCAAGCAAATCTCGCAATGGCAATAGAGTCAACTTCCATGTACATACCGAAGGCAATGCATCAGCCAGTTCCTCCATCTCCTTGCCATACTCAATCGTCCAACCAATGTTTGAGAGAATCGCTTCAAACACTCATGAGAAGAGAAGAGGTGAATGAATGAATGAATACACGCCATGTCTCTCGTTGATGAATGTATAGACGACAACTATAAACAATTCACATGATCAACGAGTTGCAACTCTTCTTGATCAAAAAATCTTGATCATGATTCAATCACTCAATCAGATCAAAGCAATGACAACAACAAAGACAAGTACTACCAAAACAACGTCAATATCACTTAACGATGTACCATTGGTAGTTCAGAAGGAGATACTTGGATATAGTTGGAGATTGAGATGTAGTTTGAAATGGAAGTTGGGTCTGTTGACAGTGTCAAAGTCATGGTTCGCCATGCTATGCTCAATAGAACAACAAACAAACATAGCAACTAGTATATCAGTGGACAATTCAAACATATTGGACTACCTCCCGCACATCTCCAACGTCTCTTGTCTACTCGCGCATCACAACAAGTGGAACCTGACACTATCGGGTGAGGACGACATTGACGACGATGGAATGCTCAACTTTGAACCCTTGATCAGACGCGCACATCATCTTCAACTATACCTAGATGATTGGGCAAACTATGATGACTTGCAAGCAATCATACGTCACGTTGATCGTGATCTTGGTGAGGATGATGAGCGGACTGTCGAGTTGGAGGTGGACCATGTTGTGAGTTGTCAGCAACTTGCTGATCTGGTGGCATCATTCGAGCAAAGACAACTTGTTTCATTCTCAATCTACCATCTCGAGAGATATAACACCGAGTACTCAGTCGCCAATGAGCCCGATAACATGGTACTCGAGGTTGTTCAATGTCTGGACACATGCCACGCTCAATGGCTCACGAAGATAGTTCTCGATCTCAGCCTCATATCCGAGTCTGGTCGCAATAAGATCACATCGACAATCAGTGAGTTTGGCGCAGAGACATTGGTCTCATTCGGCCTGACCATCGACCAAGTTGGCGACAATGGCACTCTATTCAAACATTTGGCGCGCATGTCCAAACTCCAAACACTGTACTTTATCAACGAGAAACCGACAACCAAGTCCAATGAGCAACTGCTCTCATTCCTACTCAAACACAACACATTGACCAGTGTTGACATCACCAACCAGGTGTGTCCAAACTTTGTCCGCCATCTCTTCCAAAAGTGCCCACGTCTGATCAAGGCCGGCATCAACATGTCGAACAGGATAGAGATCACGTCCACGTCCAATGACATGTCCAAGCCCATCATCAACACCACGCTCAAGGAGTTACAATACTATGACATGTGTGATATGAGCCTGCCTCTGATCAAGGACCCGCTCATCATGTTCCAAGGATTGACATATTTTAGAACAATATTGATCATGCCTATGGAACACATCATCGATGTATTACGTAGGACCAAGACATTGGAGAACATATCAGTAACAATCCGACCGAAAAATCTTGGTTTGGACAAGATCGATGAACTTTTGGAAACAATGTGTCAGTGTCGCAGTCTGAAGAGGTTCAACATCCATGCTGAACTACATGATCCAATATTCCTGATTGGACTACTTTTTGGTACCTTGGAGAAGACTGGCAATGATTGGTTAGAGGAGGCAGAGTTTGAAGACACGATGAAACCATTCAAACCACGACCATCTACCAGGCCATTCTTTGATGAGATCATTCAAAGAGATAACATTATACGTTGCCGACGATATCTTGATCATATATCTTGATGTGATCATTCAGTGCACTCAATATATCTTGATCATAGATCTTGATCTGATCGTTCAGTGCACTCGTAGATCTTGATCGATCATTTCAATCAATCAGTGGACAAACAAATAAATGATGATATTTATTACTACTTTGATGAAGCCTCACTGAGTCTTTGCGTTCTGGCCGCTCTCATCTCTTGGATGTGTTTGTTCTTGCGCTCAAGGGAGTCGCCATAACGCTCAAGTGTGAAGAGGTATTGTTTGTTCTCCTCGCTGAAGATCCTGGTGAATGATGGACGTGACTTAATTCGCTCGAGGTATGCCACCAAGGTAGGGTACTCACTCAGCTCACCCAACATCTCTGCCAACACAATGTTGTAGCCAACGAGGCAGTCGGCCGCGGTGAACTGATCGCCAACGATGTACTGCTTGCTGCCCAACTCTGCGACGAGGAATGGTGCGATCTCCAGATGCCAAACGTCCAAGCTGGTCGCGATCATCTTGTCATTGCGTGCAGGATGTCCTTCGGGAAACAGAACGCGGTATGAGTAGAGCTGGACAAAGTTGGGATAGATCTGCGAGGGGCAGTTGAGCAGGAACTGGTAGAACTTGCCGCGTTGGTGCAGGTCGGCAAAGTTGGTGAGGCGCTTGTCAACCGCGTCATACTTCTCGAGCAGGTAGAGCATGATGGCGGACGACTCGATCAGAGTGAAGTCGTCGCCCTCGGTGTAGAATGGTATCTTGCCCTGTGGATGCTTCATGAAGTGGTAGTCATCCTTCATCTCCTGGGGACCAACGATCACCACCTCAACCTTGTCCTCTATTCCAAGTTCATAAACACACAGCGCTGTAACTGATGACACAAAGTATGGTATATGATATAGTTTGGCTTCCACAGACATTATGATTATTGTTTGTTTGTTTGATGTTGTTATTTGTCTTTGGTATTAGTTGTATGATTGATCGATTGATTGAGTGAGTGATTGATTGATTGATTGATCATTGGTGATGAGTGAGTGAAGTGTGTGGTGATGGGCAGGTCCTTTTGGACCACTTGTGGGACTACTATGTCGGACCAGAGAAGTAGTTAAGAATGAATAATGTAAGGTTACCTGCTTCTCGTAACTAATGTGTCATTCACTACTCAGATGTCGAGTCCAAGTGTCTAACTCATCAATCACTTTGCATAACTTTTCAACATAGTTATTTGTTTGATAAAGTATTGATTGTCACCTGATTGATTGAACTGAACATTCACTAGTTGAACAAGAATGCTCATTTCATCAGGTCACGTTACGATCAAACTAGATCCAAACATAATAAAATCTTGTTAACTCCAAGTAACAAGTTGGGATGGGGACTGCCACTTGCCCAACATGGCGACAAACATTCCCTCATTTCAGGCATCCATGTATGTCGTACAGTAACCATGGTCACTCACTCTATCATCCAATGACTCAATCTATAAATACATCATCACTCAATGTTTAAACAAACAGTAATATTAACAACTACCATTGTATTATTGTCATTATTGACAACATATTGCTATGATGCACAATTAGTACAAGTGTCATGTAATGCTCAAAGTTGTGATCTTGACCAACTATATAATGCCACTCTATTGAATAGTACAACAGACCTTGTAATCAATGGCACTGGAGAGGTGTCCATCAATCCATTCCGAGTGAACAGCCTCAAGAACCTAACGATCAATTCGCTCACGACTTCTACTTCGCTGTACATCGTTGTCAACTTGAACATTATTGGCAATCTGAACAGTACTTCCAACATCCAACGTGTCAGTCCTCTATGGTGCCCAGCTAAAAGCCAGTGGATGGATGAACGCAGTCAACTCTGTGAAGATCCAAGGATACGCCACATTAAACAATATTGACATGATCGATACCAACCTGGAACTCAACAAGTACACTATTGTCGGATCATACTATGATCGATCAGGTCGAACCCAGGTGACAGCCAACGGCATCACATTGAAGGTCTACTACAAGTTCACTTCCATCGGCAGCATCAAACTTGTAAATGGATCCGACGTTATATTCCTTGATTCAGCCAAAGTCAACGTGGCCAGTGAAGGAGGAATCAGCAGTGTTTATGCCATTGGCTCCTGGTCTCGAGCTTGGTACAGTTAGTGTGACCGGCAACCTGTATCTTGCACCTCGCGCCACATTGTGGACAACAGTCGGATCAAACATATATGTTGGTGGAACCTTCACCAACGACCATGCCAACGTGACCATGAGTGGAAAGATGGTGGTGGCCGGTGACTATATCCAACTAGGTAACGACTCATCTACCAATATGGATATTGGCTACTGGTTCTCAAAGGGAGTGTCCATCACAGCAAGATCATTCAACTTCCAGGGACTCGTTGCAGGTATCATCTATTACAACAAGTACCTCGCCGACGGTACCCGTCCGGTATTCATCGCTACGGGTGCCTCCAAAGATATAAGATGCAACTGCTCAATGACCGGAATACTTGCATTCACTGGCAACCTCCTCATGCTCCCAACATCCGTATATTAATTCAACTACTATGCAGACTTGACCAACCCTTTAGACGTTGATTATACTTATAATAGTATACTTATTGATGGTCAGGTTACCCTCAAAGGGTGTGTGTATAACTCAGGGGGCCCCCTTTCTCCATTGCATCGGCTTCGCCTCTTCCATTCCTTTGCTCTATTACTCTTTTATATTCTTTTATATTTCTTTTGGGGAGTCTAGGGAGGATAATAATAATAATAATAATAATAATAAAGAGTACGTGTCGACTAACTTGGGGAGGATGGGGAGGAGAATGGGGAGATAATGATAAAAGAGTATCAGTCGGAACTTGGGGAGGGAAGGGAGGGGAATAGGGATAGGGAAATTGGGGAAAAAGGGTATGTGTATCGACATAGGGAGGTTGGGGAGTCAATGGTGGAAACTTTTTAATAATAGAAAGAATTATTTGTATTCTTGAATTTCTTCCACCATCGACTCCCCGACTCCCTGTTTGGACACTGATCCTCTTTTTGGGAGTTTGTATCAGTTTG